TATATCAAGATATTTTTGACGTGGTTACATTGATGTTATTGTTAGGCTATAAATACACTATCATGTTACAACTTTTCTATAAAATATAGCGTCTATCTTGTTATAACATGAAAGTGTACGTGTTTTTGTTTGTACGTATCCTAAAATAATCAGTTGCTCTGTTCTGTAGAATATGTTTGAATATAAGTAACGTAGTTTTGTTCTATCAATTACTGACAATATTTCTCCCACAGCCCAAACAACAGTATTGTCATTTAAAAAAAAAGAAAACTGGTGAAAATACCATAAAATTGCAATATTTTCAGGCTTCAAATAATGAGAAAATGTCATTTTCTGTACAAATGGGTATAGTTGTATTAGTGTTGGCCGTTTACGTTGAAATGTTTATTCATTGTTAGTTAGTTTCTAAGTGTGCCTACATTAACTTGTGATACCTGATTTTAATATTATTTTCAAAATGTATATTATATTATTCGTTAGTGCTCTAAAGAACTGTATGCATTTACACGAAACTCAATTTGGGACCGGAACTGTCTTGTTAATGTTTACTCTTTGGCTGGTCTGCAGCCTTTCTATACAGTCTGTTTGCAACAGCACAGTAGATTTTTTCGCTTTAACAGTAAGGTCCTGCACCTCTGAAAGTCTGATTTTACTTTTACATTGAATTGCAGTTATGGCTGATGTCAGCAAAACTGAAAAGGTTCAGTTGCACGTGCCAGATTTAGAGGAACTACGTGGTGGTATGGACTTTGATACACATGCGTGTTTATGAAACAGAATGTCCATTAAGAGTTTGTATGCTAATGGTAACGACTTATTGTTGGTTGCAGTATTACAAGCAGGCCTGGAAGATAACTTTGCTGATGTTCAGGTGAGTGTTGTGGAGTGTCCAGATCTCACCAAGGAGCCCTTCCAGTTTCCTGTGAAAGGTAGGAACATCAGAAAAGAACACTGCATTCTACAACAGTGTGCAGTTAGTAAAATAAAAATATATACACATTATTTATGTAAGTGGCAGAATATCAATACACTGTGAAAATCAGATCCCCCATGCATGCCCTACTATATATATTTTGTCAATCCATGCACAATTTAATACACCTAAGGCTAAGCTTAAGCTTTTGCACCACTTCCATTTATATCAGCCCCTCAAAGTCTTTCATATTCTTCAAGTATGGATGTATTGCACATGTTTTTTTTCACATGAGATTTATTTGTTGTCGGGTTAAAGTTATATTATTGGATTGATTATTACAAAAAGTAAAATGGTTGCAAAATGAAATCGTCAGAATTGTGAAGTCTTCGCGTACTAAAATAGAAAAGCACAATATAATAATGATCAAACTATTACAAATTACACAATATGATAGACAGTATGAAAACTAAATGTATCACAACTGTCAACCTGATTATTTCAGCCGCTGAAGAGATTATATTGATTTCTTGCGAAACCATTGGATGACTTAATAGTTTTAAGCTTTACTTAAAATAAAAAACCTTTTTTTCCCAACAAATAGTGACCCGAATAATCTCATAACACTTGATTTCTCATTAAAGGATATTTAAAATGTAATGAGTAATGTATATGTTTATTGAAAGTGAGATAGACCTATCAGGTCAATTTAGTTGAATAAGTATGCTGTTTGCAGTGTTCAGATGCAAGTTTTCAGTTCAACAACCTCAATAAGTGGTGTCCATGGGCTTTTGGTTTTCACTTACCATCACCTTTGTCCTATCACTGCAGGCTTGTGTGGTAAGCCTCGGATCACTGATGTTGGTGGTGTGCCGTACCTGGTCCCCTTGGTTCAGAAGCACAAGGTAGATTTAATGAAAATATTGCATGGAGATAATGAGCATCAGCCTGTGGTGATGTGGTTTTTACAAAGCCGTCTCTCCTCATTCCAGGAATACAACATGAACACCATATCGAAGGAGCTGGAGCTGCCAGGAGCCTTCATCCTCGGCGCAGCAGCTGCTCCCTCCAGAGTAATTGGAATGAACGCAGAGGTTTACTTTTTACATCAAATCACAAACTCTGGCTAATATACATTCACTTGCTTTCTGAAGTGTGCAGCATTAAAGTTATTTCCCCTAGAAAGGAAGCCCCAGATATCATCTTGCACAACATGCACAAACATAACTTGTCAAAGTGGCAACAAAATAATGAAAACAGTCAGATATTTAATTTTTTATGTAAACCTTTTTTACCAGTTTGTCTTATTACAAAGCAAATATTGGATTAAGGAAAGTAAAACGTTGGGTGGTTGTGAGATTGAAGAACTTTATACTAGCATGTGTCACTTGCTATATTACACAATGGAAAAATAGAAAGACTAAAGCACTTGGGGAACGTCAAAACTCTTTTTTTTGTGACTAAATATTCTCATGCCCAGCTGATGCCTCTGGTTCTGACCGAAGCAGAGGGACGGCCTGCAGTGAACAGCAGCTACTTCGCTTCCATCAATCCCGCTGATGGCCAGTGTCTGCAGGAAAAATACAACAACAAATTCTCTGACTGTAACTTTGGACTTCTGGGCAATCTGTACGCGTGTGAAGGGAAGTCTGGAAAGGTACTGTGTCTTATTTGAACAACAAATCATGTGATCATGTGGAAATCCTTCAGAAAGTCATTTTTTTACTACTTTTGGCAATAATGAACACAGGTCAGGTTATATATTAACTTAAACACAATTATCTGCAAGTTAGTACCCTCGCTAATGTTGTTGTGCATGAACTTCAGCCCCATCACATGTGTGCTCCCAATATTTGGGATAAACATTAACAAAAGAGAAGTGACTGCACATGCTGAGCTGTCATGTCCTCTTCACCGGTGTCTCTGCAGGTTATAGAGGTGAAGGCCAAGAAGAGAACCGGGGACCACAGTCTGGTGGCGGCCATGAGGAACACTCTGGAGAGTCACTACCCTGAAAAAAGCCTGGCTCTGGGAGGAACCTTCATCATCCAGAAAGGGAAAGCTAAAATCCACATCATGGTACATTTTTTACATGATACATGATTTGTTGCAGTTGACAGTGGTTCACAATACTTACAATACAATATAACATAATAGTAAACATTCGGAGGTTTTTGTATTTAACTTGAACTCTACCCCAGTACAATTCAGAGGCAAATATTTGATTTTTTACTCCACATTTACTAACTTTTATTTATAAAGATTCTACAAAATATTACTAATTAATAAAACATGTAATCAATACATTATGATGTGTTATTATAGGTTAAGATACACTTTATTGATCCCTTAATAAAATGCACAAGATACCTCGCAGTATAAATAGTTAATTGCATCATTAATTATAATCCAAAACTATAATTTATATTATTTTTAAAATGGCTATTGAGCAAATAAGATACTTTTTTGAAAATGTAAGTATATTTTTATTTATTTAAGTTGAGCTTTGAATTTAGATCTTTTCCAGTTTATTCTCATTCTCGTTTGCAAATACAGTTGTACATTTGAATGCAATCGCTCTCATCACTTAACACCCTTCTATAATAAGAATACATAATAATACATAAGAGACAACACAAATAATTACCTATTCTTTAAGCTCTGATGCTCTTTAGACTTAACTTGTAACCCTTTGGTATTACTTCTTCTGCTAAGTTGATGATCTGAATGTTTCTCCTACCTCTGATAACTAAATACATTGATTTAATTCCCTGTATATTCTCATGGACAGCCTAGAGAGTTCTCTGCCTGCCCCCTCGACACCAACGATGACGTCAACAACTGGCTCAAACATTTTGAGGTCTGTGCCCCCCTCATCTGCCAGTCAGTGCTGGTATCCAGAGACCCTGTGAGTAAAGCAAACACACACATCTCAGTGAGGCGAGGACACAAGATGAGCATCAGCCGTGCATTTAAAAGTAGGCTGCGTTGTATTGGTTCTGCTCATGTGTTTTCTGTGTATGTACCCAGGGTCTGGACCTGCGCGTGGAGCACACACACTGCTTCAGCCACCACGGAGAAGGTGGCCACTACTACATCGACAGCACTCCTGACAGTGTGGAGTACCTCGGCTACTTCATGCCTGCAGAGTTTGTGTACCGCATCGACAGGCCCAAAGACACCCATGCAGTTGGAAGAGATTGAAAGATGGATGAATGACTGTGGGCATCCCCTCAGACAAAACCTGTAAAACCCCTCCCTTAGGTGTACTTTCTAAGCCTCATTCCTTTAAATTCATCAACAATTGATTCAAGATAATCCGTTTGACTTTACCTTAAACCAAATAAATGAAGGCTTTTATTAGTTTCTGGTTCTGGGAAAATAAGAAAACAGTACATATCTCCCAAACTACTGGATCACTGGACTTGATATTTTTAACCAACATCACCCATGTGTGTGCTATTCTATTTGAACTAATGTCAACTAATGTTTCATTTTTTTACTGAATTTAAAACTTTGAAAACCTCTCATCTAAATTAATCAAGCACTGTGTGATTTATATGATGTATGTATGTACAAAATAACAAAAAAAGAAAATGTTCCTATAAAATAGGCATAATTTCTATAAATCTTTGCCCTCAAATTGTATCTCTAAAAAATGTCATACATTTCTTGTAAACAAAATCAATACATTTCATAGTAAAAATTATTTTTGATTTTTGACTGTTTTTCACTGAATGCAGTAGAGTGTGTGCATCACTCATTCCCTCAGAAATCCAATTATAGTACATACAATATGGGACCATGAACTACATGCCAATTCATCATGATAACACATTGTGCAAACAATGTCTATGAAATGTTTGCACAGAAAGAAAACACACCCTCAGTCCACCCATGCTGGTGTTTTCACGTAATTGCTTAATTTGGCTTATATTAAGGATAATGTAAGTGTTTACAGAATATGATTGGCTGATATCTCGATCTTTAGTTGCATATGTGAGGTGTGATAGCAGAGGTCTAATCAGAGACTAGTGAGAACACCTGTGCTGGTACTTAAATAGCCATGAGTTAAAAAAAAATGAACCCTGTTTTTCCGACTTGATTTTCACATGTTCTCATATTTTATGAAGCAAAACAATTAAGTGTCAACCCTGGATAATACGTTATTACTGTCTATAGAAAACAAACATGGCCTTCTGGTACAGTTTCATCAATTATAAAAGGGCAAGCAGCAGCAGCAGCAATATTACATTTAGTCATTGTTGTAGTGAAAACGGTGACCATTGTATCATGGGTATGGAAAATTGCCCGAGACACACAATTAAGCAACAGCATGAGATTAACACATGCACAGACAAATATTCTAAATAAATTACAAATTAAATAAAGAGTAGTAACAGAATAATAATAATTTTAAAATAAATGAAATATTTATATAAGGAGAGACACTCCTTGAGACAAGCATTAATTTGACTGGGGGTTTATTAAAAATGTGAATTTTGCATGATCAAATAAATGGTAGAGACCGTAATACGTAATTGTTCATAATAATAATAATAATTCATTAATTGTCTAAATAAGGCTGTGTTTCTCTAGCGTTGAAACAGCGCCATCTCCTGGCCAGAGCAGGTAACACATAATTTCCCACAATGCTGCTGCCGCACCAGCCCGGAAGTAAGACGTTTATTGACAATATGGCCGCTGTGCTGGGTTTGGATTTGGCGAAAATTGTAATTTGACAGCACTCACCGGGGCTGCGATAATAACCCGTTTTCCCGTCAGGAGTGTAAAGAACAGATGCATTTGAATGAAGGGACCCGTGAACTCACGGGACGGTGTCAGTGAGCTGAGGAAACGTCCAGAGTGTGAAACCCGTCATGTCGTTTTTCAAGAGGAAAGGTGAGGAAGCTCCCTCTGAAGGCTACAACGTCAACGCTGTCTCGCAGCAAAGAGTCCGTCTGAGGAGACCGTAGTCCCGGTAACATGGCACTAGTGTAGTCGAGACTGCGGCCGACAGTAAATCCTTTGCGGACACAGCGGTGTGTGTGGAGCCGCGCCGCTGCTCACTGCAGTGACATGGTTAGCTTAGCGGTGGCCTCTATCCTGCTTGCCCTAGTGTTAGCCAGGGAGGATATACATCCACCCTAAAGAGCTGTCAACTGTATGTTATTTCAATTAGATACATTAACATGACAGTGTTTGCATACAATAGTGCTTCTAAATGTTATGAACTTTAACGAACACCAATATCTGTGATAGCCATCAATTGATAAGTGTCGAACTTTGCTATGGCAGCTAGCTAGCTTTATCAATACATTTCCATACAGTTTTAACCAGACATAAGTATGAAAAAGGCTATTAAATGTCCGTTGTAACTGAATTAGAGTTGTTAGGTTATTATAAAGAAAATATGTGTAGTCTTCATTGAGAAAAGTTTGACCAAAATGGATGTAGCTAACGTTGGTAACATTGCTCAGCATCATTCAACGTTAAGTAGAAGGAACTGATTTAAATTGAACCTGCAGTTTTAGTTATAAACCAAAGCATGATGAAGCATTTTTGCTGGCTACCAAGTAAAAATAATGATAATATAGTCTAATAGCTCAGCTTTCATGTACAGGCTCTTCATACACGTTGTAATATGCCATGTTTTTCTAAACTGTTTGATAGCAATTGGTTTCGCTTCATTTGGAAGACTGTAGTGCAGGTGCATCTTTTATTTATTCGACACATTTAATATTAGTAGCAGACCACAGCAGTTTAGAATTGTGCAGCTAATACATTTCCTACAAAGTGTTTTTAAAGAACATGCCCTACATTTTATGAATCATCTCATTGATTAGAAGAAAGCAAATCGATGTGAAGGGGCAGAATAACAAAGCAGTGATTGTAAAACAGATGTTTACTGGAGTATATTTGTGTTTATTAGAACTATTCACAGTAGCTTCATTCAAAAGTTGTTTCTCTTTTAGAGGGAGAGTAGTATTTTTTTCCTGAAAGGCTACAGCGGTCAAAGCAGCTGACACAGCAGGTCACACAAAAAAGAGAGAGGGTGCACTTACAATGCTGTGAAGCTGGATGATACTCATGACTGACAGGAAGGAAGTCGGATGCCTGGTATAGGCACATGGTTGAAATGTGCTGACAACATTTTGTAATGAGCTGAAGTTTGGCAAAGCCATTATAGTGCTGTTAAATAATAACTAGCTGCCTGAAACAATACGTTAGTTGAAATGTATATATTTTGGTTGTTGCACTTTGTTTATTTATTATGATTTAGTATTATAGTATTAGTAAAAGCTAAAATCCCAGTTTCTCTCCCCCACCCCTGCCTGAAACGCCTCAATTGGACTGGTTGTTTACTTCCGTAGCATAATGACAACACTATGTAACACTTGACCAATCACAACAGAGCCTGCCAGCTAACCAATCAGAGCAGACTGGGCTTTGGTTTCAGACAGAGGGTGAAAAGAGGTGCTGCAGCACAGGCAGTAGGAGATTCTGATTCTGATTTGACAGCAGCTCTTTAGTTTGTCCAGTCCACAAACATTTCTCCATCTTCAGGCGCTCACAGTTTTCTGACATTTTGCATAGAGGTCAAGTGTTTGTGATGCTTTGTGTGTGAATGCTAGACGCATCGATGCGTGCGCGTACGTGGGTGCTGATATTGCAAAGCTTTTATTTTACATTCATTACAGCACATCCATGTGGTTCTATGAATATGTATTCATTCCAAAGACATGCTTTATTATTTAAACCATGTTTAACTTCTGCCCAGAGAATGTTGTTGGAGCTTAGACTTTTAAAAAGTCACGCTCTGACAGACAGCCCATCAGAGCCTACCCACTCTTGTTCCCAGTCCATTTTGTAATGTCAGTACTTGAAATGATACCTATCCGGACCTTCCTTTGCTGCAACAGCCTAATCTGAAGATATGAATGTTGCGTCACTCTAATCTCGGTTGCCACCATGTCAGCCACTCTGCATTTGTTCTACATATTTCAGTTTTTTATTCGACAGTTGGCCAAAGAGTTTTGGACTGGTACCAAATAATCGAGTATTGAATAGTTGTCCATTATGCATGTGATTTATAATGCTGTGTATACATTATTTTTAAATAATAACTCTCTTTTAGTGCTTTGGAGGAAAGCTGTCAGACTGTCAACTCCCCTTGACTTTAAAGCAGTTTAAAGGACCCACCAGAGCTCATCGCCAAGGTCACAAATCTTAAAAAGACTTAGTGTGAAAGCCCTCTCAGTGCTGCTTACTATATAATGAGGACCGAGAGGGCTTTCACATATCGGAACACAGCTTCCCTTTTTTTCCTCATCCGTCAGCAGCAGGTCTGCAGCGAATGATCTAGCCGCGTATCCATTTGCTCACTAGGTCATTACGTAACTAGATAGTGAGTTCCAGTCTTTTCCCGCTGCGACACCACACAGCACCATCCCATTACCTCGCCTGTCCTTATGAATGACTTCTCGCTGGTCACGCCCTGTATTGTGAATGAAAATGCTTCTGATTCTAACCCCCGTTCTCATCTTTCTCTCCCACAGCCAAAAGCAAAGAACCTGAGAGAGTGACAGATGCTAAAGTAAATAAAGGTGAGTTCATCGTCTCCTCAGTGAGGATATGAAAGTGTGAAAGCATGTTGTGAAGTGAACATTTTAATTACTCTTTATTTATAGACAAAACTTGCATTAGCTTATTCCTTAGATCCGAAAGCAGTTGTTTTCACTGGAAAAAACAGGAGCATTTTTATTTATTTATTTATGACAAGAATACAGACAATAGTTTTTATTATCAACTGGTTATTTGTGATGCATTTGTGGACAAAATGCATTAGTGGACAAAATGAGCTATATTTTAAACATTTCTACAAGTGTGCTCAACTGTTTTAAATGGCTTTTTGTTTGATCTGGTTTGCTATCTTTCACTATTGCTGGCCCTTATTGTCACAAGGACAACCTTTCTACCTGAAGCTGTTAAGTGAAACACATACAGTCAAACAAACACTGAGCACTCTGTCTCACATCCCACCTCAAGGCCTCTATACTCTTACTGTGAGCGCTTTGAAACACATTCACAAAAATTATATTTTCATCCACATCACACTGACTCTTTTTCTTCTTTCTATTTAGCTTGATGCCTAATTTCTGTCTCCCATGCTCCCTCACAGCTCCACCCAGCCCTCAGTCACCATCACAAGGACTGAGGAACCACCATGCCATCCAGGAGCCCGCGGGACCCAGCCATGTGGCCATCAATGCCATCTCCGCCAACATGGACTCCTTCGCCCGGGGGCGCACCGCCATCCTCAAGAAACAGCCGAGCCACATGGAGGCCGCTCACTTTGGAGATCTTGGTACTGAGCCTTACTCGTGTGTTTTGTGTTGAAGTGATAACAGATGACGAGGGCCCAAAACAATATAGGTCTATTATAGCACACAGAGGAAAACATCAATAAAAGGAGTAGAGCTGGAAACAACAATTACTTCCTTCCTTTATCTGTCTATGATTTTTCAATTACTGTATAACATTTTTAGAAAATATTAGAAAATGACCTTTATAATTTCCAGAGAACAAAGAAACCATTACATCCATTGTTATCTTCTACCAATAAATACCACTATCTACTACTGTCATATAACACAAAGTCAAGCATCCAAGAATCCTTACATTTAAAATGCAAACATATGAGAAGTTGTGCCTTTTTTTCTTTGAAATGTAACAGAAAGACTAATTAATTATAAGCTAGTTTATTTCTGACAATTGACTGATTAATTGAGTCATGCTAGATTTACTGGAAACAAATATTTCAGAAGGACAAATCTAAAAGTGTTTGAATTTCTGCCAAATAATAAAATCTCAACATACAGTAAGAACACAAAAACAATGTATACAAACTCCCTATAATATAGAAATGATCATAATTAAACCAATATAAAGAGCTATAAACATGGCAAAGTTTCTTAAAGGAACAAATGGGTTCCTCATATGAATGTGCTGTTACTATGGCAAACAGTCTTATGCAAGTTGCAAACACTCCTTCAATAATCTTGTGTGAAGCACTTTCACAACTTCATGCTCCCAATGTGATGAGCACTCAGACATTCCACAGCCTGTAAGGCCTCCTCTCTCGGGGTCATGTAGTAAGAACACAGCTCCTCCCTTTTATCTAAAGTGCTCTAAAATTAGATTCTGCTTACGTCAGATGCAATGATACAAGGTGGTGAATATTTAGTGTGGCAGGACTTGTGGAATGACAGGAACTGCCCGAGCAAGTTGCCCAGAGAATAGCAGGGGTGAGTCAGAGAGGTGGAGGAACCCAGACAGCAGAATGAGAACGAAACTCACCGGGCAAGAGAAAGAAAGTGGAAGAAGGTGAGGGAGCATTTCAAAGGCAAAGTGGGCTCGGCCCAATCCCAGGCTGTGATTTGAATAGTTAAACAAATCACATCCTTTGTCTTTTTTCTAAATGCTTTTCCTTGACCTCGATTGAAACGTCATAAGGCCAAGGAAAGATGTGATTGATTCTAATTCCATTTAGACGACAGCAGTCTTGACTTTAGTGTTTATGAGTGGGCAACAGTGACAATCTCAATGCTGTACAATTCAGGTAATGAAAGAGTGCATTCACACCTCTTATGAAGGATGTTCTCAGTTTATTCATAGAGTTTAATTAAACAGTGATGTCGGATGTTATATACTCTTTAAATGTTGCTGCCACAAGGAATTCTGGGACAGCATTATCTCCTGTCCTTTGGTAAAGGATGATCCCTATGCTAAAGGCCATACGAAAGGAAGAATCGAAACACCTTTCATTAACATTGAGATAATTCAAACAGGTCTTACCATGGCTGCCACTAAGATACTTCCGGGTCATTTCACCAAGGAAAAAAATGTTTCGACCCCCGCCCCGACGTCCCCCTAAGGCCTTAAGCCCTGAACACTAAGGGGCTTAACTGAGGTCACACACTTATTATGGTTGACTGTGAGTAACAGCAAGGGTTTGTAAGAGTATGAATAAGGATAGGGCGCTTTGCGGTGACGTTTCACATCAATTACCTTAACAAAGGCAATGCATGTTTTGTTCAATAGTGTGTTTTTCTTTGATTACTGCCTTATTAATAAAACGCCCTCCAGGCTCTTGAGTTACAGAATGGAGCAGAGGTTATTTTCAAATAATCACTTTACTCAATATTTTCCAAACATCATCATAAAGCAAAATTAAAGTGATGGATGGAATAATTCGGCGTGTAAAACAGCCTATGCCAACATACACCCTTAGTGTTGTATACATCTCCTTCCACAGGCTGAACTCTGTGTGACATATTCTTTGTTTACCTTTCTTTCTTTTAGTTTAACACTCTGGGTTTCCCGTTGTAACCCCATGTTCCACGTCACAAAGCTATGCATTGTGTGTAATTCATTTCCCTCAAACTAACTCCTCAGAAATGCGCTTTATGGCAGTTCAACCTAAAGTGAGACTTAAATACATAGTGGAATTAGTGGGAGTTAATCATTCATCTTAACAGTGCAGTGACAGTGTAAACCAAACGTCTGTTGAGTATCACGCAGCTGTAGCACATGTGAGGGCGGGGCATTGTAAAATCAGTGCCTGACTTTTCAAAGATATTCAAATGAGGCAGGCGCTTTGTGATGATGTGGCGTCCCTGTGTGCTCTTAAGGAATGCGAGGGAGGTTTACAGTGGGTGACGCACAAATATTTTTTTAAAAGAGCAGCAAACATAACACCACAAATCCTCAGCCCAGGCTTCAGACAGCAGATGTGCTCTTATTCCTAACGCAGCAAGAGTCTGGTTTGAATTCAGTGAGTGCGCTCCCTTGTTTATTTTGATTGCTGGTAGTTTGTGCTTGCAGTCCCTAAGGATGGTGTATCTTCAACAGGTATTCTCTGTTAAAGGCAGAGTACACTGGAATCATATGACATCCATACAGGAGTTCGGTGCTATGGCAACCACAGTTATTGCTGACCTCTTCAGACACTCAATAATGACTGTTTGATGTTGACTCTGAAAAGTTTGTCTGGGTGAAATCATCTGTGAAATTGCATAGTCCAAAGCCACCTCTAGAGACACAGTCAGAAATTCACAAGACTTCAAAAAGAAATATCCAGGAGTTTAAATTCAGCGCACGTTCCAACAATCTGGCCCAAATGTTCAGGAGAACTAATAGAGCTGAACACGGAGAATCCACTTTTTATTTTTCACTTCATGTTGCAACTCAACTCTATTATGAAAGTTGAAGCCTGTAAATAATAGAACGTTTGCTGCTCTTATTGAAGTGGAACACTTGAAGGCAGTATACATATTTTTGACATGTGCATTTTTACTAAAAAGTGTATATGATCTTAGCCTTACAAATACAAATCCCCACTAATATAACACCTTTTTTTTAATTCAGTTGAATCATGAATTGCATTGGGGTGATGACATTTGTTATGTTCTGACTTTCTTTAAAAAACTTGAATTGATTTATGTGTTTTTTATATCTATTCAATTGTTTTAATTTCTCTAAGTCAAAGTCTGTATATCAGAATTATTTTGACAAAAAAACCAAAATCAATATAACATTTATATTATGATGTTTACTATTGCGGCTATAACACAATATTAACACAAAGAGATTGAAGATAAATAATCATCAGTGATGGGAATGTAATGAATAACTAAGTAAAGGCATATAAAAGAACAGGTAGAACAGCCTAGACATTTTAAAGAAAAACATCCCTTGTTATGCAATACAACTAAAATGCTGTCTTTAAAAGGAGGCAAATAAAGGTATGCCATTTAAGATTGATATAATATAACATCTATCCAAATGTCAACATATCCATTTACTGTCAAGCCGTAATTGAAGCCTGAAGTTATAAATTGATAACTTAACTGTGTATATTTGCATGTTCCAGGACACTCCAGTGTGAACTATCAGCAGGAGGACCGCTCCCGGCTGTCTAAGACGGTGGAGCACGTCCTGCGGGACGGCGTGGCCATCCCTCACTACGTGCACTTCATGGAACACCGGGGCGCCGACCACCTTGTTCGCTTCTGGTTGGAGTCTGAGACTTTCCGGGCCACCAGCTGGTCGCGCGTGCGAGCGCACAGCCTGAACTCTGTCAAACAAAGCTCTCTGGCGGAGCCCGTTCCCGCCTCCCCGGGCAGACCGGACCTCCCGCAGCTCGGCCTACACACGGCCGATGTTCTCAGCAGGGAAAGTAGCAATGAAGTCCCGGCGGTGCACACGGAGTGGCGGGACTCCTCCATCACAGAAAGTGTCCTGAGGCCCGGCACCCCTCGAGTAGAAACCCCCAGCAGGCAGACCCCCTCCAGGACTGGGACTCCCTGCAAGCTGCAGCCCAACAGCACGCTGCAAGACCTCTCTGAACTCATGAAAAGTGAGTCAACTTCAAACAACCCCTTCTCTTTTATATTTGTGTTTATATATGTTTTTTCATATAATGCAGCGCAAACAGAAAAACATAATCTACATAAAGCATGCAACTTCAATGTGATCCACTTTTACTGAAGAGTTGAAAAATAGTGGCAGATTTAAACGTTTTTGCTAAATTCACAAAATTACTTAAAACCAATACAAAGGCCATATTTATATTATTTGTTTTAAGTGTTTGGTGTTTGACTGGCACCCTTTTTCCTGGCCATCCCATTGCAGTCTCTTCTTCTTCACAAAATAAAGAGGCTTTGCATTTTTATTAATGCATATGTCATGAATCTAATTTGTATATATTGTCAATGATAAATGAAATCAATCAAAACTATTCTGAACGGTTCATAGGTATCGTAGTGGATATTAGCAGCTGTTTATCAGTACACCTGACTCCTAATATCATAAGACAAGGATAATTGGATTCAAAATGAATGAAACCTGGCTATTACCTAAGGATGGTGGAGAGAAACATTTTTCTTAACAGTGACCTGCAATTATTTGGTCAGATAAAATAACCGTTGCTTTGTCAGGCTACAACTGAAAAATACAATTTTTTGATTTTAAAATTTGACGCAAAAGCCAACTTGGACTCTGATTCGATTTTGTTGGTCAAAAAACTTGACGTCACAGTGACTTTACAAAATAAATATAATTATTATGACAATTAAAATGTCCCAAAGGATAAAATAATGAAGTGATGACATTTTGGACAGACGTTGTAAAAGGCAACCTGACTTGTGTGCAAAAGCATACAGTACGAACACAAGCCTTTAATTCTAGTTAAAGTCCTTTTTTTAAATAAATGTACATTGTTCCAGCTGTCAAAGGAACCACAGGCCACAAATAGATCCCTTCCTAAAGTGATTTCAATGAAAAAAAGACAAATTCCACAGTACACTTTTTAACGTAAAAATACATTCTTAAATTCAGAGGTTTTACCAGTGTGTGTTAGACATAGTTAGTTATCCCAAGAAGAAAGTATTTTTAGCATGACATTCCCTCTCTGTGATGACACACTCCTATGCATGTTGCAACTGTTTTTTTTTTTTTAAAGCTATTTGTCTTTGTCTTCCGCAGGTATAGAGAAGGAAGCAGTCACCATCTTCACCAGGTACATCTCTCCAGATGCTGTGAGGCCCATCCCCATCACAGAACCAATCAGAAATGATATCGTGGGTAAGAAACACACGTTAGGAACTCACTTTTTCTTTTAAATATGAGAGCCGATTTGACGTGCTTTGGTTTCAGTCACAAAAACTGTAATACATCCATCTTAAATAATATCCCTGTCTGCTCTCTGTAGCTAAGATATGTGGAGAGGATGGCATGGTGGACCCAAACAGCTTTGTCGTTGCACAATCGGTAGTCTTCATCATCTTGGAGCAACAGTGAGTGTGTCCATTTATTTTCCGGAGGAGTTAATGGAACGAGGTTTCCCTGTCGACATGTTTCCACAGTAGAGCTAAAGTGCAACTAGTCATTTGTCATTTTCCCCTGCATTCATTTCCCACCTGCTCTTTCTTATCCAGGCACTTTAGTGATTTCCTGCGGAGCCATCATTTCTGTAAATACCAGATCGAAGTGTTGACGAGTGGCTCTGTGTTCCTGGCTGACATCTTGTTCTGTGAGTCAGCTCTCTTCTACTTCTCTGAGGTGAGTGGACCCATTTGTTAAACACCTTTTTCACTCCAGTACGGTGCCATTTATGTTTGTTTTTGTACACAAACTGTGCCTCATGTCCCCTCCTCATTACTGTAAACACTTGTCCTCTCTTGCCACTACCCCAAAAACACTTTCTGTTTATTTACGTATGTTACAGGGAATTTCTATTGTCACAGCAGCAATAAAGTGAGGACTCAGTAGAGATATTTCTCAAACTATTGCTATAATAAAGTGACAATTAACCCCAGCACTCCCTAACGTTGTCGGAGCATGTATTTACTGTGTCAGCGTATACACAGGACTCACAGTAAACCCTGAAACACAGTGACTTTCAGTTGAGGTGTGTTGGTCTCTTCCTCCCCGCAGTACATGGAAAAGGAGGAGGCGATGAATGTAATGCAGTTCTGGCTAGCAGCGGACAACTTCCAGAACCAGCTAGCAGCTAAAAAGGGCCAGTACGACGGCCAGGAGGCTCAGAATGACGCCATGATCCTCTACGACAAGTATGTCTCCACTCAGCTTCTTAAGAGTCCTGTCCTTTCAAAAGCTATTTGTGACCAAAAGTTAGGAAGATCATTTTAAGTGATTGTCAACGTTGCAGCTTATCGTTGATTTGTAATATTTAATAGTTAAACGTTTATTTTTCTCACTGTTTTTTTAATTTGTATTTGATAATTACTTATTGTTATATTTTTTGTTTATTGGGTTAGTTGTTTAAGCTTTGTTTTGAAAGCAACTTCAGGCACTGGTTGGATTTTAGGACAAAAGAGAAGATAGAAGTCATATTTCTTTATCTGGTTTGATTGTTGAAACCTGAGATGGAAACTTTTTTCCTACAGGATCCCGACATGGACAAAACAGTTATAAATTAAAGTAATAAGAGAAATGTATATATTTATAGTTGAATCAAATCTCTTCTACTGTTCCAGTCTCGCTATGTTTTAGAACCAGAGGGTATATTACCACAGTAAATACATAGTCATGATTATAGCTGCATTTTAGAAAATATGAATGTATTACTGGCCGGATTCCTGACAGTATCGATTATTTTGCACTTTCACCCTGTTGTCTTAAATACACTGAACAAAAATATAAATGCAACACTTTTGTTTTTGCTCCCATTTTTCATGAGATGAACTCAAAGATCTAAAACATTTTCTATATCCACAAAATAACCATTTCTCTCAAATATTGTTCACAAATCTGAAAAAGTCTGTGATAGTGAGCACTTCTCCTTTGCCGAGATAATCCATCCCACCTCACAGGTGTGGCATATCAAGATGCTGATTAGACAGCATGATTATTGCACAGGTGTGCCTTAGGCTGGCCACAATAAAAGGCCACTCTGAAACGTGCAGTTTTGCTTTATTGGGGGGGTCTGGGGGGGTCCGAAACCAGTCAGTATCTGGTGTGACCACCATTTGCCTCACGCAGTGCAACACATCTCCTTCGCACAGAGTTGATCAGGTTGTTGATAGTGGCCTGTGGAATGTTGGTCCACTCCTCTTCAATGGCTGTGCCAAGTTGCTGGATATTGGCAGGAACTAGAACACGCTGTCGTATACGCCGATCCAGAGCATCCCAAACATGCTCAATGGGTGACATGTCCGGTGAGTATGCTGGCCATGCAAGAACTGGGATGTTTTCAGCCTCCAGGAATTGTGTACAGATCCTTGCAACATGGGGCCGTGCATTATCATGCTGCAACATGAGGTGATGGTCGTGGATGAATGGCACAACAATGGGCCTCAGGATCTCGTCACGGTATCTCTGTGCATTCACAATGCCATCAATAAAATGCACCTGTGTTTGTCGTCCATAACATACGCCTGCCCATACCATAACCCCACCACCACCATGGGCCACTCGATTCACAACATTGACATCAGAAAACCGCTCACCCACACGACGCCACACACGCTGTCTGTCTGCCATCTGCCCTGAACAGTGAAAACCGGGATTCATCCGTGAAGAGAACACCTCTCCAACGTGCCAGACGCCATCGAATGTGAGCATTTGCCCACTCAAGTCGGTTACGACGACGAACCAGAGTCAGGTCGAGACCCCGATGAGGACGACGAGCATGCAGATGAGCTTCCCTGAGACGGTTTCTGACAGTTTGTGCAGACATTCTTTGGTTATGCAAACCGATTGTTGCAGCAGCTGTCAGAGTGGCTGGTCTCAGACGATCTTGGAGGTGAAAATGCTGAATGTGGAGGTCCTGGGCTGGTGTGGTTACACGTGGTCTGCGGTTGTGAGGCCGGTTGGATGTACTGCCAAATTCTCTGAAACGCCTTTGGAGACGGCTTATGGTAGAGAAATGAACATTCAATTCACGGGCAACAGCTCTGGTGGACATTCCTGCTGTCAGCATGCCAATTGCACGCTCCCTCAAAACTTGCGACATCTGTGGCATTGTGCTGTGTGATAAAACTGAACATTTTAGAGTGGCCTTTTATTGTGGCCAGCCTAAGGCACACCTGTGCAATAATCATGCTGTCTAATCAGCATCTTGATATGCCACACCTGTGAGGTGGGATGGATTATCTCGCCAAAGGAGAAGTGCTCACTATCACAGATCTTTTCAGATTTGTGAACAATATTTGAGAGAAATGGTTATTTTGTGTATATAGAAAATGTTTTAGATCTTTGAGTTCATCTCATGAAAAATGGGAGCAAAAACAAAAGTGTTGCATTTATATTTTTGTTCAGTGTAGTAAAAATAATCCACACACTGTTAATTAGCTGCCATGATAATAATCATACCAGACAGCTGCACTCAATGCTGTGCATGTGTAGCCAGACATTCACATTTCTGTTTATTTTTGGGAAAGAAACTAATGGGTTGACATGTACAATCTAGAACTTAAACAGGAAAAGGGGATTATAACTGATATATGTATTGGGTTACATCTCAATCTCTTTTCCAGTATTTCTGACATGGATCATATTTTAAAGTTATCATAAAGACAACTTCTCCCCCCAACTGGTATTATTTTTGGCACCGCTGTGGCAAAGACACCTGGTTTATAGTGAACCAATCATTAAAACGATGGTGACATTTTCCAAAAATCCATTACATTGTGCAATCAACATTTAGTTTGTTATGTTAAGTTAAAGCAAAAGACTTGCCTATTGTCACTTTGACAGTTGCAATCCAGTCGTCTGATGTTGGAGGATTTTTTATTGAGAAATATTTCAAGGTGTTTCTTTTTCTGTTAGCTTTGTGCAGTTAAGTACTGTGAAGGAGAAAGCCCAGTCACTAGTCTGTATTAGCAGCAGATCCTTTTTGCAATATTTCATTCATATTTAGATAATATTAAATAAATGCCATAGTCCTGCTTGCCAGAGGCATTGCAGCTTAAAAAAATGCAATTTCCTCAATACAGTTCTTGATTTAGGTTTAAGGGAGGTTTATTTTGAAGTCTATTGTATTTTTGGTATTCATTTGAATCCTAATTGAGATGACCTCACCTGAACTCCGTCTTTTATTGCTCTATTTCCTCTTCAGGTATTTCTCACTCCAGGCCACTAACCCTCTGGGCTTTGGCGACTCTGTGCGGATGGAGATCGAGTCGAATATCTGCCGAGAGGGGGGGCCGCTGCCAGACTGTTTCACCACTCCACTCAGACAGGCCTGGACAACCATGGAGAAGGTACGGAAATAGGAAACATTCAAGAATATACAATAAAGCACCCTAGAAACTCATACTTATAATGCGTTGTATTATGCTTATAGCACTTAACAATTATAGTATTAAGCACAGTTCATAATGCTTCAAACAATAATCACACACATTATAAAGTTTGTATGGTCAAGTATTATCATAACTGCTGGTCACTCTCTAACCTGTCTTTAAAAGGATCATAGTGTTTAAAATTCCCATTGTTAAATTACATTATAACCTTATCATAATGCACTATTACAATTATCTTCAAAGTTGGGTATTACTCACTAGAATCAGAACAAAACGTTTTAAAGCTCTGAAGCTGTATCTTTTCCTTTGATCAACATGAGTGACTAATTAAAATAAAAAGGTAGAAAGCAGATTCAAAGTTTTATTGACATATCATATACATAACTATTGTGAAGTATGTAATTAATGAAAAACACAGATTCCTCACAAATACAAATGCACTTGTGTTAATACTGGTAATTATAAGAGCTTATAACTACTATTAAACAGTGCTATAAGTGGATTTTTAACACATTTTAGTTATGTTTATAATGCATTTAAGACATAGAAAAGTTGTACCGAAAAGTTCAATTCATGTACATTGCCCTTTAAAGCTTTTAGCTACATAATTATAGAATCTTCTGCTTGAGCTGTTTTCTGTAATTTAATAGGATCCTCCTAAAGGTTTTGTGTTGTAAGTCACTGAAAAATTGTCCTATTACACCGATGACAAATGTACTTGCCTTAAGTTAATGAAATGAAATCTGAACACTGCTGTCGGCATGTAAAGGTCAGAAACAGACCTTTGTAACTTGTGCCCAGAAATACATCACGCAGCTCATTATTGGCTAACAGAGTCATCGTTGTGTTGCGTTTGTTCAGGTCTACATGCCAGGCTTCCTGTCTAGCAACCTTTACTACAAATACCTGAGTGACCTCATCAACTCGGTGCGGGCGGACGAGTTTGTGAATGTCAACACTCCGGGTCAGGGCGGGCCCGCGGACAACGAGCGTTCAAGTTCAAATGCCAGCGAGGGCTCTCAGACTCAGGTGACCCCAACGTTAACCCCCCCCTCTTCCTCCGCCCCTGTGGGGATGTTCCTCCTGACATTTACTCCTGTTCCGCCTCATTACGCTAACAATGAAGACATTCTTTTGTAAATGCCAAAAGGGCTGAGTGTATTCCAGATGTTTAGATGTCTTCTTAGAAAAACAACGTTGCCCGTAACGCTGCCAAACATTCACTTCATGTTTTCTTCACGCTGCAACAGGGGGCCAAAAGGGCAGCGATCAAGATCCTGAAAAACTTCGACGAGGCGATCACGGTGGACGTCGCCAGCCTGGACCCCGAGTCCTTGTACCAGCGGCCGTACGCTGGGTGAGTGTCTAATGCACCAGAGGGCTAAATCTGTGTTTCACATCATCTCTTTAAATGAACTCTTCAGATATTTGCTGTTCTCCAATTTAGCTGTTGGTAATTTCCCCCTAGTTCCATTGTTCTCCCATATTCTTATGTTCTATTGATTGCCCACATTGCCGTTTGGCTTTAATGCTTGTAATTTTTTTTGTTTTTATTGACTCACTCTCAAAGTGTTTTATGAGCACTCTGTAAAGAATCCGGCACAAAAATAATTAAAGGAAATAATTGTATTAAAAGGCAAAGCTGTAAGGCAAGGCAAGTTTATTTATATAGCACCTTTCAACACAAGGCAATTCAAAGAGCTTTACAAAAATGAAAGACATTAAGGAAATGGCATTTAAAATCAGTCATTAAAAAGAAAAGCTAATAAAATAAACATTAAAAGAAAAAATACATGGTTAAAAGTTACAGTGCAGTTTAAGATGTGAATAGTTCAATTAAAAGCAGCGGCAAAAAGAAAAGTCTTCAGCCTGGATTTAAAAGTAGTCAGAGTTGCAGCGGACCTGCAGGTTTCTGGGAGTTGGATCCAGATATTTGGAGCATAATAACTGAACGCTGCTTCTCCACGTTTAGTTCTGACTCTGGGGACAGAAAGCTGACCAGTCCCAACTGTAGTCAGTCGGATTTACTTCCCCTTCATTGAATTTGGATTGATACAAACACACACAGTGATTTTAGAATGTTGCAGTTGTGCCTGTTTGCTCTGTCTTCATCCCTCTCCTCTTCTCTCAGAAGGATGACATTCGGGAAGGTGAACGAGATGGGTCAGTTTATCAGGGAGGCCGAGCCAGAGCCGGACGTGAAGAAATCCAAAGGCATGACAGCTCACTCTTTCTTCTGTGTCTCATTATTTCCTTTGAATCTCGGCCCTTACTTTTTCATATTTGATGTCAGTGCAGTGTAAAACATCTACTCTGCATCCATGAATATAAACCTTATCTTAAGAATCAAGGTTTAAAGGCTATATGCACAATAGTGAGCAGAGTTGTTGGCACTGAACATCTCCCAGTCTCCGCTCCTCCAACAAGGCAACATATAATGTGCTTCACATAAAAATAAAAAGGCATAATAAAAGTGGGATAAAATAAACATAACGGTGCAAGTAAGTTACAGAAATAAGAGAAATTTGGCATATAAAAAAGAACAAGATAGAACAGAATGTAAAATTAAATACTGAAGTGTCATAAATACTTTAATATTATCATCTTCTCCATAATCCTATTCTCCACATGCTTTCAAACCTTTCCGAAATATACAAGAACAGTTCTCTGCTACAACTTCTCCTAAGATGAGGCAACAAACTATTTATTATAGTTAGGAGTGTTTTCTCTTGGTCTAAAATAGAGTACAAGATATTTGGGCTACAGAATGACTGTGCCAAACTTTAAGTCTATAACGCCGCAAATATGTTTAACTCACCTTGAGGAAGTGAAATTAGGCTACAGTGTGTGCAGTTAATATGCTGTTTTGTATGTGCTTTATGTGCAGCCTCACTCAGCCTTCCCTCTGCTCTCCTTCAGGTTCCATCTTTTCTCAAGCCATGAAGAAATGGGTCCAAGGCAACTCGGACGAGGTGAGGAAACACCATGCTAAAATGTTACTTTAAAAATATACTTAAAAGCAGTTTAAAGCTAAAGTTTGTGCTTTGACATCCCTATCAAGGCGCAGGAGGAAATGGCGTGGCAGATCGCCAAGATGATCGTCAACGACGTCGTCCACCAGTCAGGTCACGACAGCCCCGGCAAGTCCACCAAGGTACGGATCCTCAACCGGTAAGCCCTCTCCTCTGCGGCGATGTGTGTAATAACTTCTTCTTCTCTCTTTTGTCTGCAGTTATGACCCCGCTGAGGAACCAAAGGCCCATCACGCCCTGCAGACACTGGCCAGACCAGTGACAAACTGTACGCAGGGCTCACTCCACAATGAACTGCATTAATCTCATTACGAACAAGGCATTTTTTCATCTCCCCAATGTGTCTGTATGAATGTGAGAGCTTGGGTGCGTCATGATAAAGTTGAAGTACATCTTTGCACCAATCTTCCAACTCCATAATACTACGAAGGTACGCGTGAGGTCGCCAAAGATGAAGCTCTTAAGTTGGACTGAAGTCACTCCTGAAGGAAGGAAACCTACAACACACACACTTGACACTGTCTGGAAATAATGTCTCTCTTATCTCGGACCTATGGAGGATGTGACAAAGACTGAATTTGCCCTCACGACACTCCTCCCCACACCTTTTTTAAGCATTCCTTGTTTTTAGATGAAATGTAAGGGTAAGGCTTAAGCAGATGAAAAATCAGTGTTGTACAGTTTTCTGCGTACGCTTCCCGTCGGAGTAGTGTCGTCTGCCGTTCACTCGTGTGAGCTGTCCCACCTCGGCTGTTTTTGCGTACTGTAGAACATTTTTGGAAACGTGACAATGAAACAGAAGGAGAGCAGATTTGTTCCTTGGACCGGCTCAGCTCCTATATGAAACTCCTGGCACCTTTTACAGAGCGTAGAAGAAGAAGAAATATTCCCTTAATGGACTTAAGTGCTCCAGTTGTGTTGGAAAACTCCAAACTCCATGTCCTTAATGTTCTATATATGTACATGTAGATTTCTGGTTTACCCCATATATTAATGTTAGCTCTTTTTTATGGTGATCTGATTTTTTTTTTTTTAATGCATCGCTGACACAAATATCAGTGATGACAGAACTGTTCAACTGGAAAATGTGCTCAGTGAATACAACTTTTTTTTAATTTAGACCCTTACCAAGATGTGGAAAAGAACCAGAAAAGACTCTTGGTACTATGTACCACTAATGTTTTCTGACATGTATGTATGTGTACTTAATCTATAATATATTTAAATTGTGTTTGATTTAAATACATATATTATAAAATGTGTCTGTCTTATTTTTTGACATATGTCAGAGTTGGTATATTATATTGCTATTTTTAGCCAGTTGTAGTTGTGATACATTTCTTATTTGTTTTTACAATACTAACATAATTAGTATGTGGTAACCTGCCTGGTGCCAACAGGACTAGGTTGAACTATTATCACCTCTGACCAGGAGGGGGCAATGTTAACTGTATTACTATGTTAGAGATAAACAAAAAACATGAACATGAACGACACAGCAGATTGTTTTGGACATGAGAAAGAGCAAGTACTTTTTCAATAAGGCTCATCTGTTTTCTCTTGTACAGGCCTTGACATCCACAAATTGTACAGTACAGTTGAAACTAATGGGCAAAAACTCATTTTCAGTGAAGTATAACACATTTAAATAGTTGAATTACTGTTTTCTCACTGTTGTAATCACCTCTGTAAGTAGTAATAACAGTTGTGCAGTATAATATCAGCTCTGAACATGGCTCCAATTGTTTTCATTTAATACTAGTGTTTATTTTAAAGATACAATTATCCCAATGCTAATGCTGTTGATACATATTTTACAACTCGGTGAGCAAAATAGCCTTGTACTATTTTACCGTGTATTAGTATAGTCCCGCCTACTGCTTATGTGGTTTCCAGACTGGGCTACCTGCACGTGTCGAGGCAACGCCCACCTCTATACAAACTAACACTCTCTGTTCTGAGCTCTGATTGGCGTAGATGCAAGTTACATTAGGCAGCTAGGAGAACAATTAATTTAAAAAAATTACCCATTTTAATTCATGTCGATGCTGAAAAGTGTTTGATATGCAGAGATTACAATTTCATTAATATAAAAAAACGTACATTTAAACATATTAACAGTTTTTTTAATACATTGGTGTGCTTAGCTGTTTGTGAAAGCTGTACAAATGATACTTCGCATTAACAAAGTGCAAGGTGCATTTGGAGAAGTAGCCGCGATCAGACCAGGACCAGACAGACACCCAGTCTGTAAAGTTAAACAAAATATGTGCAATACAGCGGAAAAGTGGGGTTTTGCCTTCAAAATAAAAGTCATTTTGTTAAATAAGTGCTCTCAGTGATCTCCTCACCTGTTCACCATGGCCTTCGGAACCTAGTCCTTTCCTGGTCCCCTGGCTTTCTTTATTTTATTTTGTTCTTGTTTTGTTCGCTCCTCATTGCAGACCCGGCGCCAGAACAAATCTAAAGGGAGGGCATATGATTTTCATGGGAGGGCACACAAAACCGTCACGTGCTGCGGGCCTGCGGCATAATTTATATCAAACAGCAAGGCCAACAGCATTGGGTAAAGACCATAGACTGTATATATAAAGGTAAAGACGCACACTTATCGCAAATACATACACAAATAAAGGGCAACATAGAAACCACTTTGAAACATTGTGTGCGTGGCAGCACAGACACTGGTAAATCACGAGCAAGGCACACTGGTTACGGATGGCAGCTTCCTCATCGCTGCACTCGGAGAGAAATAGTAGAGACGGAGACGATGAACTGTTTAGCCCGCCTTGGGCATGGTTTATGTTCCTATGCACTGCACTCGGACATGCTGTGGAGTGAATCGAGTCACCTCTGAGGTTAAAAAAAGCCTCTGAGGTTAAAAAAAGCTAAAATATCAATGACAGCTGACACGTAATAACGGCTCCGTGCCAGCTGATCTGCACCAAAGTACTAATATCCTTATTTGTTTCCTCGCGTATCTGTCTCTCTCTCCACACACTCTCACATGAAATGTGTTCTTTTGATGCGGCATGCCTTAGCAGTCCTTTATCAGTCTGTAAGGCGTGTTTCCAGTGGCAAAAACCTTTGACAGTAAAAGCCACATCAGATGAAGACGTATTGACTTTAAACTGTCTACAGGGGAAACAAAAGGCTGCGTCTGCTTTTAACGAATATTCAAGCCATGGTCTGTTGTTGTAACATGCAGCGGCAAAAGTGCGCTTCTTTCCTGAAAACAATCTCCCTGGATAACGATCCAGCTTCACCTGCTTGGGTTTATTAACCCCAAGATCATCGCTAATTTAGCCCCGGGGTTTGCCGAGGTCAAGCTTGTGACATTAAGGCGCGCTGCTGCAACGGCAGGTGCAGGGTTGCCAGCAGCACCATCGGCTGCAGTTCTTTCATCGCTATTTCGTTTTAATAAATCCTTAGACCTTTTAAGCCAATTTCTGATGTCCATTTTGTAATTCAAACAGAAATGGGAGTCTACAGAATGCACAATAAACAATAAACAAATCCAGAATAGGCGGCAGAGTGTGACGCTGTGATTGGTCTAAATGGGGACGAATCACAAATCACAACACACACATGCATTTATTTGACGTAGCCTGCGATTTTTTTTTTTGTTCTGACATCACATACATCGTAGCATAAAAGTTCACAGTTTATTTATAATTAAAAAAATAAAATAAATATATTTTTTAATTTTTATAAATAATAAAAAACGTGTTTATTGGGGAGGGCAGGAATGTCAAATGGAAGGGCCTGGCCCTCCCTGGCCCTCCCACTGTGCCGGGCATGCCTCATTGTCTGTTTTGTTTTGTCTGTCCACCATGTACAGCGACCTTGGGTCCCGTGAAAGGCGCTTTATAAATTCCATTTATTATTATTATTATTATTATTATTATTATTATTATTATTATTATTATTCAGTGATTTAGTTTAGTTTATTTATGTATAGTGTCGTGGACAGTCCCCATCGATGAACTGTCACAAAAACAGTAAATGGTGCAGCTTTAGCCGACATGGCTAATTTCCAGCTGTTGTCCCCGGCCAGATGGTAATAGACACCCTTAAAATTACAATATATCAACAGCTATAATAAAATATATAAAATAAAATAAAAAGGAGGAAAGACAAGTAGATACCGGTGTGAGGATAAAAGAGAACAATAAACAACACACGTTACTATATACAGTACATGTCACATATAGCACATCACAATCACATAACAGAAACCAGGGGCAACATCCATGATCACAACATGTAACACAACGTAACACTCACGCCATACTCGACACAGACTAGTGTGTGCAGGTGTAGTTCTCAGTGAACCATGTTTTGAAGTGAGCTGTGAAGGTGGGATGTGTATGTATGTCTTTGATTTGAGTGGGTAGAGAATTCCAGTTTTGTATTGCTGTGACCGAGAATGATGACAGACCAAAAGTACTCTTCCTGAATGGGACTGATAGGTCGCCACGTTTGGAGCTTCTAGTGGTCCGTCTGGTGTTGTTACGTTGAGTAACCAATGAGTTAAGAGGTGGAGGGGCTGTATTGTGCAGGATTTTGTAAACCAGAACGATGTTCCTATACTTTATTAAATCTCCCAGCGTGCCTCCTATAAACCATATATCAACATTTACTGTTGCATTCAATACTACAGACCCAAAGAGGAGAGGACATTAGCCTACATAGCCAAGTGAATCCCAAACTGTGGTAACCTACCTAGTGATATGCAAGAGCTTTGCTTAACACAGAATACATATCATTTTAACGTCGAAAGACTAATGTCCCCGCCAGTCTTGACATTACTAAAGAAGAGTCTGAAACAACATGGCGGCGCCTGGCAAGAACTTGAGAAGATGCTTCAAGGCTACTTAATTCTAGGATATATGGTCACAGAGCAAGAAGAAGAAAGGCAAGGTAAGTATTTGTTGTTATATTTTGTGTATCTGCAGTTGGAGGTGGCAGGCTGAGGCTACTTTGGAAATGTGGATAGTTACATTGTCTGAAGTTTGGGAAACCTGTATGGGATTAGTTTTGTATCATAAAGATAAAGCAACACTTTCTCAGAATAAAGCAAAATTATGAGTTTAAAAGAAAAGAAAACTGAGTCAAGCAAAATAAAATAAATTTCAAAAATAAAACTATAAGTTGCAAACAAATCATTTGTGTAATCATGTAAACTCCAAGTCTTTTTTCTTTGTTTTAACATAGGTTTTTGTTTGCCGTTCTTGTTTCTTCTTTCTCAATGATCAGACGTTTGCTCTCGCTGCAGCTTTCTCGTTTGCGCTCCCTCATTTTTTGTTTGAGATTCTGACACAAACCTCCCAGGTGGGCGGGACTTTCAGGGGTGCGTCCCCATTGGTTACTCAGTTTTTGAGTGACAGCCAAGTCCTCCAGCGATTGCAGTGCGGTAGCTGAACGTGGATAGAACACCCCCAGAAGAACCAGCATTTCAATTATTATAATACTACAAGTGAAAATATATGTAAGTATTGATCATGTTTGTTGTTTGTGCTGTACTATACGGTCTGTTTCTTTATTGTGTTAAGTGAGAAGTAAAGCTGTGCTATGAAAGTTAGCTTTTGCTACCTTTAGTAGTTCCATAACAATGCAAGCTAAATAGCCTACAGCTACATAGCTAGAAGTGAGTGATCGTTCAGACACCGGCGCACACACTCAAACGGTCTCGTGTGCCTGACTCTACCAACATGCTTTCATGATTCTGTTTAGATATGCAAGTATAAGCCATGATAGCTTATTTTATTAACACGCTAATTTGATATGAAAATCAATGGAGGCTGAGTTAACTTTGTAGGAAAACCTACCGTCCATGAGCTGTGTTTTATTTGTTAACTTCATATTTTTCATTTCCTAAAACATTATTTTCCTCTCATATTAACAGTGTGGATCATTGAGACAGCGTGGCGTCCAGAGTCTTATCCCGTTTCCCTACTTCCTCTGAGGGACAGCACGGAGGGGGGGCATGAAGAGAGACCTGCACCAGCTTCATCCACGCTGGGCGTTGCTGTTATCACTGGCTCAGTGTCATTTCATTTGACCAAATGTCTTTACATTTAATAGATTTTATTATTATCTACCTTTTTGTTTTATGCCCTTTTATTTACATAATTCTTTGAGACTTAATCTTCTGGTTCAAATTTCAATAAATGTAATTTGTATAATCACTCTTTTGTCTTTATTATACATGAAAATGTTAGAGATTCCATTCAAATCTGTTGATTATTCATATCTTCCTCAGGCTAGGAATAGTATGTAGAGTTTGTAATGCTAAACGTATATCATTTTCTCACAGGATATAGAATGAGACAACACAGTTTGTATCCATTATGTATGAATAAATGCTTCAACTCTTCAGACCCACATAGTAAGATGTGAGCATGTTCCTAATTGTGTTGATATGCAGCCTAGGTCTGGTCTGTTTCATAAAGCAAATCTGCCACTTTTATATTGTATAATTTGTTAAATTAAAGCAGTCTTTAATTGTTTGTCCTAAACATAGCAATATATGCTTTTCAAATGTAACATGTCTTTGAAAAAAATAACAGTATACAGTTTATATTGTGTATCACCTTTAGATTGAAAATACATAGATGTGTTTTTTTTAAATCTATAAAATAAATAAATAGACAGACACTTTATCAATCCCAAATTGGGAAATTATTTAACAACAGCAGTGTGTTCAGGTATTAAAATATTTAAAGTTGGAATAAAGTATAAACACAACACAAGTATAATGAACAGCAATCCATAAGATGAGTCCGATATGTTCATGAAAACTCCCCAGGAGACACCGACACTAACGTGGCCGAGTGGACTCCGGAGTTTGCTGCATGAGTTGCACTGTATGATCTGTGGTGTAGTGGGCTGTCACTTAAAAACTGAGTAGCCAATGGGGACGCACCCCTGAAAGTCCCGCCCACCTGGGAGGTTTGTGTCAGAATCTAAAACAAAAAATGAGGGAGCGCAAACGAGAAGAGCTGCAGCGAGAGCAAAAGTCTGACCATTGAGAAAGAAGAAACAAGAACCGCAAACAAAAACCTATGTTAAAACAAAGAAAAAATACTTATAGTTTACATGATTACACAAATGATTTGTTTGCAACTTATAGTTTTCTTTTTGAAATTTATTTTATTTTGCTTGACTCCGTTTTTTTCTTCTTTTAAACTCATATTTTTGCTTTATTCTGAGAAAGTGTTGCTTTATCTTTATGATACAAAACTAATCCCATAAACGTGAGCCTAGCATGTAGCCTATTTAGCATACAGTAAACTGACATTGACCTGTAAAATCAGTGTAGTGGCTCTTCAGTGCAAATTATTGAAAAATATTCCCGCGCTTCTCCTATCATGCCTTAACTTTGAAAAACCCATCCGGAAGTACTTATTTTAACCGTTGTGAGCTTGACGTTGTCCAGACGCACTCTTGCTGAAACGCAAAGTGCGCTGCTGTCCGTGCGAAGGCAGAGCGAGTGCACAGACAGGAGCAGAGGAGAGCAGCGGCACCTGCTGCGGGACATGTTGTGTTTGTTGGTATAAATTAAAAACTGCTTCTCCACCTGCACTGATATGACAAATGCGCACCCAGTTTTTGGGTGCGACAAACCTCTTGCGCGTGTGTATGGCAGGTTTGGGCATTTATCCAGGCTGAGTGGAGGCGTGGATGACTTGACTCATGATCATTGATTACCATCACTCCTGCTGATGTGTTTTGGACGTTTTCTTCCTGGTTGGTCTGTCCAGGGCTGATGTTCTGGGGACACAAACTGCGGATGTGCCAGTGATTTATTTGCTGATGTGGTGAGCGGCTGAAGTTGAAGTCTTGCTCCTGAAGGTGTGAGCTCCAAATGCATTCGCTCCTGGGCCGGGATAAGAAAGAAGAAGAAGCCGGGTTCGGGATCGATCTGGGTCTGTCTCCGGGCTTTCTGCCCCACGCTGCCACCATGTTCAGCTGTGTGGGCTGTTTCTGGGTGCTCCTCTCCTCCGCTCTGGTCGCCGTGTGCAGTTTCAGCTTCATATCCCCTGCCTGGATTGTTAAGGACCAGCTGAGGAACAACCACCACCTCCACCACCACAACAACAAGGACTCTGTGAGCTTCGGCTTGCTGTGGCACTGCTCAGAGTCTCTGGATCACATGTACCGATGCTACACCTTCGGGGGACTGGGCAAATTCGCAGAGATCCCCTCCAGCTCCTGGCAGGTAGGCGACCAAACACACCCATACAAGTCCATCCCATGTGGATGGATGAGAACATGTGGGCCATCAAGTGGGAATGGCATGGCATTGCAAGAACCAGGAAAGAAGAGTAGTTGGCTGAATATCTGTACACACCGTGAAGACCACTGAGACAAATGTAACATTTGTGATATTGGGCTATATAAATAAACATTGATTGATTGATTGATTGATAAGCACAAGATGAATACATATGAGCAAATAATCCAGCCTTTTAATCATAATGATGTCTAAATTACTGCACCCACTCAAGAAAATCACTGCATTTAAATATGTTTGTTTTGCATCCATAAAGAGTAATTTATCCATACATTTTTAACCTATAATAGTTTAAATTACTTTTATTCCATGTATCCTCAAAAGGTTCATTTTATTGTTTGGTGATTTTGTTTTGCTAAGCTGCAGCAACTTTCCCAGGTGATACATCTCAAACTGTATATGAAACTCAATGAAGCAACACATATTTAAAATGGCTCTGATTGTCCTCCCAAACCGACTTTTCTGGAGGACACATTTGGTGACGATGCAGGCAGAAAGAATGATTCATTGACCTGCGGCTGTATCACAGAGCAGCATCTGCAGCACAGCATGCCAAACACACAACAAAGCGGCGGAAGGTGGCTGTAGGTTGGCAGGCTGCTCACCCATCAGGACTCCTCCATCACCAGCAGGAAGTTTGACTATTCAAGTCAAATTGAACCCGGTTAGCGAATGTGCGACTATTGGAGCATGCTGCTTCTCCCTACCTATGGTTTTAAACATCAGTGCAGGTATATCCAGCAACAAACCCCTGCATGAAAAATAGCGAGGTTGTTGGATCTGTGTGACATCCCTTGACTTAAAAGTTCGAATTCTTCCAGATTTCTGCTGATACTGAAGAGGTTTCAGGCTTATTAGAGCAAAAAAGGTTGGCCTTGCTATGAGACTCTTAACTGGGACGCTCACTTTTCACGCAAGTGGGTTAATATCATTTGTTTCTACATGCAGGCTGTTTGGCACCCCCCATACTTACATTTTTTTTTTTAAAGCTACACTACACTAGCCACCTCTGGAGTTATGATTTATGCATGAAGAGGAATTAGCATTTGAAAGCGAGATATTAATAAGTTGCTGCTTGTGTGACTGTAGTTCAAGTGCCTGCAAAGAGGGGAAGAATGCAACGCCTGGGATTTCTCTCACAGGGAAGCACAGGTGTTGCAAACTGCAGATAGAGAGCAGTGAGCAAACACGGAACAGATCGGGATCTCTTTTATATGATTCATACATTAACCATTAATATGTCTTTATGCTGAACTAAAGTGTAGCACGCTATAAGGCTCATTTGGTAAAAATAAATTCAGCCAGTTGTCAATTAGTGGGGCCAGTTATGAGCTCCTCCTGCAGTTTGTTAGTGAGTGTGATGGAGCTGCTTTCCTGCGCAGAGCTTCATGTGTCATTACAGTGGGCGCACCATCCTCCATTAATAAAGGTGAAGGGGCCATTATGTTTTCATCAAAGCCACTTTATTACTAACTCCTCACTGATGTGCATGTCGTGTTGCTGATGCCTTCCATTTTCAACACAAACCTGCAGCAGTATCGTGTATATATATATATATATATACATACATATATATATATATACATACATATATATATATATATATATATATATATATATACATACATCAGACACGCCTCAGCAGCCATTAGTCCCACTCTGTGTTGTGTTAGTAGAAGAAGACAACTGTATATTGAACTCTGTGGAGTGGAATAGTAGTACTCTTGTGTTGATGGGGAAAAGACCAGCTGAGCCCTGTGGATGCTGTGCAAGGGAGGAGGAGGAGGAGGAGGAGGAGGAGGAGGAGGAAGAGGAGGAGGAGGAGGAGGAGGAGGAGGAGGAGGAGGAGGAGGAGGAGGAGGAGGAGGAGGAGGAGGAGGAGGCTGGCCTACTTGTGCTGTAGTTTATGGCCGTTTCTCAATTTCGAGGATACTGGCTTCCAAGCCAATATTTCAAGGATGCTACGTCATCGAGTGCCGCCGAAGTACTGTTCCAATGTCCAGCATACTTGGAATTCCACCGAGCCCGTGTCCTTGCTGGTTGTTGCTTGGTTGTCAAAAGCTTTTTCTCGGTCCGTGCTGCAGTCCAGTGTTGGCCGTCCCCAGACTGGCACGCCCTGCTTCCATTAAAAGAGGGAGGCAAACAAACAAGGCTTTTTCCTGTTTATTTCATATGGAAAGGACAGTAGAGATGGGAAAGATTCCCATGTGTCATTCATGCGGCAACCTCAAGATTTGTTGATTGCAGTGTAGTTTTGCTTGTTATGTGCATTTGTGTTCGTAGTATGTTAAAGTTTCAATCCACCAGCATTTTGCCTTTTTATATATTAGTCCTGGTGTGTGTGTGTTGCACGCATGGGGCTTTAGAATTAACACTGCCCACATGCTAGTTACACTAGTTGAATGCTGTCATGGAAGCGCACATTGCGAAAAAGAATCCCCTGTATGGTATTATATTGATTTTAAACCTGAAGCAAGCTGAAGGACCACAATAAAACTATTTGCCCTCTTTGCAAAGGTGTTGTGCCGGCAAAGTTTTAACAGACCAATTTGCACGATAATAATAAATACATCGACTTGCTGAGCTTGCTATACATATTTTGAGAGCAGCACCTCCCTTGAAGAGGCCCTATTATGCTGTTTGGGATGTTAACCTTTGCAGACCTTTAACATGCACAAAAAACCTATATAACACACACTACAGGAAAGGGAAAACTCCAAAGTGCCTTCCAGAGGGAGTTTCTCTCGGGCCCCTCCACCTCTGCCTGAAACGCCTTGAACTTTGTTTACTTGTGTTACATAGTGATGTCACTCGCTTTACAATTCGCTAGCACTCCAACATATTGTACCTGATAGGCTAAGGGGCGGCCAGTTAACCAATCGGAGCAGACTGGGCTCTGGTTTCAGACAGAGGTTGAAAAGAAGTGCTGAATGAGAAAAATAAAGACCTTTTTGAACATTAAAGCATGTAAACATGTCACAGTAGAGGAACACAATACAATTAAGCATAATAGGGCAACTTTAACTGGCACCAGAAAAGACCTGCTTCATTAAAAAGTGGCCCCTCAAAAAAAGAACTACATAAACCTTAAAGCAGCATCCATATTCGTTTGACTTGACAGATACAGTCGGATTCACAACTTGATGTTTTTGCGAGTTGGTCTGTATTGTAACTTGACATAATCCATGACCCATTCATGTTTTTCACGTGATCATGACAAGCTTTCGACAACAGTAGAGTTATCAAACACTCTTACTACTGGTTTTACCCATAAATAATTCCTTGTATGACTTCTTCTAGTTTCTGCTTGGTCGTCTGATTTGCCATCAGAGCAGATGTAGTTTGCAGCGGTGGTGTGCTAACATGTTTGTGTCCTGGCACGGCACGCATGAGCGTTTACATGCATGAACACAATTGAGTGAAAGTGTTAAAGTGTGAGTGCTGTGGTGGGTTCGCGGTCGAAGGGGTGCACACTGAGCTGCTGCTAGTAAAGTGTGAAGGAGGAGGAAGTTAGCATTCCATCAACCATTTTCACCTTACCTTGTTAACAGCTTGTGTGCTTCCAGCTGCTTCGCAGTGCTGAACACTGTATTTGAATTAGCTTGGCCTCTGTGCTAACAAGCCCACAGCCCAGACACAAGAGAGTGTGTCTGTGTGTGTGTGTGTAAACAGAAGGTGATTTACTGCGTGTGTTTGCTGGCTCTGTGGTGGCACATGCATGCCCACTGAACGTCAAGGTCGTCTTAAAGCCCAAACGAGTCGTGGCCGAGCTCCAGGAACATTGATTGGAAAATGTCTGAGTTCCTGCTCATCTTTTGTCTGTCTTTGGAGAAAATGGCAGTTTTTCAATGCTGAGGAAAAAGAGAGGAAGTGACTTGCTTCCATTGAAATCCTCTGACACAAGAGACAAAACATTAGTCCCAAGTTGCCTTCTTCACATGCCAGGAAGATGAATTATAGACGTTACTGGAGATGTTTCACCATGCCTAATTGCCAGCTACCTATGAAGAACACTTACTGGTGCATAAACCCTATATGCTCTAAATGTCATTTCACCACTCAGTGAGCCAGAACTTGTTTTAAGTAGATAGATAACTCATTTAATGGAATTCACTCGTGATTCTTTTGTCTATCTGCTACTCAGCTATTGTCTTTTCCCTCCTTCGTTAATGTCAATATCTAAAGAAGTTTCACTCAGGGAGAACAGGAAACTAAAGATTACAGGATGCTTTATTTTAATGTATTTCTTGTGTGAGAATTTGATTATACATACAAAAATGTCAATTTGTTGGGAATAGTCAAAATGATTTTAATGCATTATAAAAGTCAGGATGTAATCTGAATTTGACCGCTTTAGCGAGATAAATATTATACAGGTAGTAAAGTAAAACGGTGGTGTGCAGTGGAATAATATTCCCTGCGTGTGTTGCACTTTCTGTAGTGTACAGCAGGTTACTGTTAGGAACTAAGAATGGATTTAGTTTATCATGTATCTGATGGAATACTTTCTGGTAAGTTACATTCAATTGGTATATTTGTGTGCACTTTTTGAAGAGTCTTTCAACGTTGTACCTTTTCCTTACCTTACTGAAGTGCAATACAATGGAAATCAATTTAAAGGGGCCCTATTATGGCTTTTGGGGTTTTCCATTTCCTGTAGCGTGTTAAAAATGTGTTTGTGCATGTAAATGGTCGGCAAAGGCTAAAATCCCAAAGTTCCCTTCAAAGGGAGTTACTCCCCCCCCCCCCCCCCCCTCACCATACTTGCCAACCCTCCCGATTTTCGCGGGAAACTCCCGATTTCATTGCCCTCTCCTGGTTTCCTCCCGGGGTCATATTTCTCCCGCATTTCTCCCGATTTCTGACAAAATCAGATTTACTCACGTCTGTTTCCACTCGGACTTTAATACAGCTACACCATTGTT